GAGAGAGAGAGAGAGAGAGAAATCCTCTGTCCCTTATGAGCCTATTTCTCAGCTGAGTTCTGGATAACAAGCACTGCTGGTAGTGCCACCATTTGAAAAGTGAGAATCATCACAGAAAGACTTGGGTTTCTTCTGAGGCACCTCCTACACCTCAGAAGTCTTCCTGCTCCCATCTGAATGTTTACAGTTTCAATCCCTACACAACCAGTTGACTCTACACGTTAACAATATCTATAAAAGACAACTTTTACAAAACATTGACTACATGTTGTGACCCTGTGCTCTGGTAAAACATCTTCAACCATGTATGGGAAGGCAATGCTAAACCACATTCTCCTTAATAATCTTGTGCTCAACCAGTCATATTTTTAAACCATATATTCCTTCTCTTCTGGAACCCTGTCCACAAAATCTTGTATATATCAATTTGCCACCTGTCAACAAATAATCAATTTATCGTCAGCTGTCTTTCCTAATTTTGTAGGTGTTTAGGCTGATATCCAAATATTCTGATCACTTGGGGCACAACCACAAGAAGTGTCTGAAATCCATGTCCAATCTTGCACATTTCTACCAACTAAATGTATTAGTTTATTCTTTTCAGTCTGAGAGAAGGTGAAAAACCAACAGTTTAATTGGACTCCTTTGAGATTCTGAAACAATGAGCATTTGTCTGCAATCTTAAAAGCCAAGTTCTGTTCTTCTGTCTCTCTTGCACAATGTCTCTGCAACTGTGTCTTATATTGATCTTGGTTTCCACCAGCTTGGATTACGTAGTGTCTAATATGAAAAAAAGGAAAACGGGGGGGGGGAATCTATAACCCAATCCTATTTATATAACAAAATATAACTCGCAATCAAGTCTTTGAACCTACAACATCCAGCTCAGATCTAATCAGTAAATATCCAAGCCATGTTGTCAGAATTACATTTTTAATGGCGACTCACCAACTCTGAATAAAACAACAACAAAATGACAAGGTATCAATCCTTCATAAATTATTTTTCTCTCCTTTTTATCTACCTATCACATATGGTCTAATGGAACTAGTATTTTACTGTGTTGTAGACGGAACTATTGATTTTCTTTAATCATGACAAACCAATCTTTTAACCACTTTAAGCACACAGCCTTGTATATTAAAATCATATTAGTGACCATTATACCGCCTCAATTTTATTTTGGCTATGTTATGAAAATGTTTTCTATTTTTATGTCTTTCCCATATGAAATTATTAATTACTTTGTGCTGTTCTCAGGACCCAACTCTGTGGAAGACAGAAAATATTTCTTTTATAGTCAAGCATTTGGTTGTTGTGGCTAATAGGTTTTGCTGGATCTAACTAGTATGTCCTATTTTATTGATTTTTAAAAATCAATCACTGTTCACTTTATGGGTTTTGTGCACTATTTTGAACTTTAGAAAGCTGGAAATACAACTGCAAAGACGAGTAGTCATTTCCTTCACCCAGACTCTCAAGCCAAACTAATCTTCTGAAAAATAATAAAGGCTCAGGCACTGATGGATTGCCAAATAAGTTCTATAAGGTTTGTATGGATCAGACTCTAGCTCGCTGAAGACAAAGAACGCCAGAGCTGAGGAAAGCAACCAGAAATGACTGCAGTACCCCAGTCAGGAAGAAACAAACTGGTAAAGCTGGACAATATAATTCTCAGATGAAACAGGGTAATGATGACTTTTTACTTCCATCCAGATGAATTTGTTCCCTTGAGAATACTCCAACAAAAAATAGGCTTCCTCTCTACCAAATACATATTACTGCAAGTAGTACTAAATACTGGCTTGGATCCCAAGAACCACAAGTGGAACACTGCATGTGGAGTGGATGTCTCACTTGCCCCTGCCTTCTGCAGCCTCCTGTGCTACTTAAAAAATACTTCAGGGGGTGAGGGACTGCAGCTAAAGTCGGAAAACTACAGAAATCACCAATACCACCCACCCACCCCATATGTGAGCAGAAGTATCTTCTTTGGCTTCAATCTATGATTGCAACCAAAGAAAATCAACATGGAACACTAAGCACATATCATTGGATACACGTAAACAATCTGATTACTTTAGAGTGAGGGTTTAAAAACAACAAAAACTTGATGAAAATGTGGGTTTGGTCTGGCCTTTCCCCCATGTAACGACAGGCAATGGAAAAGGCCAATGGCTTCCATTTTTCCTATACATATTAGGAATTTCCCTTCTTATTACTGCTTGCTGTTGCTGAACAGCCACTGGCTACACCTATACAAAAGGACCCACCCCCCCTTTTATGACTTTTAACCAATTAGGAAGAACTCAGGAAAGACAAAAAAAGAACAATCCTATCACCTGCAAGTTGCTCCAAACCAGAAGACACAACTTTTGCAAAAGCAGAAATAGACAAATTCGGGATTACGTAAGTAAATACTGGGTTGGATCCCAAGGAAAATCTCTATTAATGTAAGGAGGGTTTTTTCAAAAACACCCCCCCTCCAATGCAGGAAGGAGGGGTTTTCCAACAACCCCCTTCCTCCAACTCCCCCTTCATGCTGTTCCTGGGGAAGGTTGATCCCCAACAAACAGCAGGATGTGTATGTTCCTAGCTGCAGTGAGAGGGTGAAGTAATGGAAGTTCACTCCACTGACAGAAATCCCATCTGTCAGCAAAGATTTACCACAGTATCCAAGCTATAATCATACAGTCTAAATTATTTAATATGGGCATTACTCCAGACTGCAAAGCTAAAAATGCTTGAGGTCCTATCCTTTCTCTTTTGTGAAATATTTGAAAATTAATATGTTTGAGTCCCCAAGAAATCCTTCATGCAAATACAATCTCCCTAGTTCAGTCAACTTCAAAAACCTTAGGAAAATTCTATACTTTGCTGGACCAATAACTCCTAAAGATATACATAAATGCTTACACCTTTGTCAAGTCCTATCCATTTCTGTTATCATCTAACAAAGTGTGAGAAACAGAGGCCTGGCATCAATGAACCTATTGTTTGACTACCGACTTCAACAGCTCTTCATTTTTTATTAACACTCTAAAGCTGGTCCTACAACACTGCCCTATGTGATGACATCACTTCTGGGTTGCATCAGATGCGACATCACTATGTTGCCAGCAACATCACTGGACAGCTCTCTCCCCATTCTGGTAAACATGAAATCATCCTCGCTTTGTCCTTTCTACTGCCTGAAGAAGCATGACAAAGGAAACTTTCCACTGGAGCAAAAGAGAGGAATGGTGATTTTTCCCAATTCCTGCTCACTGCAGCCCCTCTTTGCCTTTGGTTTCCAAGATTCCCCTGACCCTCCGCACTGGCTATATGGAGGCCCAGAGGATTGCTACGGGAAGGGAATGGCAGAGAAAGATCCACCACAAATGCCCTCTGCTTGCAGTTCATTGGACCCAACCCATTATCATTCGGAGACTTGGCAGGGCCATACTGCAAGAAAACAATGTGTCCAAATAAAAGGAAATCTGCACTTTAAACCACTTTAAGAATGTATGATACAGTGAGGGGATTGTCTCTAGGTCTTTGTCACTGTTCCTAGTTGCAATCATAATTTTGGCCAGGGGAAGATAGGTAAGTAATATTTACCATCTTTAGCATGGTTGTCATGGAAAGACAGCATATAAATTATCCAAATAAAGTCTGGGTAGGAGCAAGGATTCTACATGTTAGTAGATCTGTTTCCTTTTCCTATAGATTGATGGACCTAGTAGAGGAAAATTCTGCTACTGTGTTGAAGGTAGGCAACAGACAAAGCAGATGGTTCCATTAATTCAAGTCCAGTATTTACAAACCTGAGCTTCTATTAAAGAATACACTTACACAAGCTGGGAGAACACATTGCCTCCTCTACTTCAATTGCTGGACTCTACTGAGATTGGGAAAGAAGGGCCTGGGTGTAACACTGAAGGACTCAGTCTACAAGCATCTATGGTGGTGAAAATATAAATGCCATACAAGCAGAAAGAGTTTCACTGGAAGTACTACCTTGACACCACTAAAGCACATTTTCCATAAGACTATACACCAGGTTAAACTCAACATCTTGCTGTTCAGAGAATAGGAACATGCACTGGTCCCACTGGAATCCATGGTATTTAATTACACTGAAGTACACATTGGACAGCAGCCATTGCTTGCAAAAGACAACGAGTGATCAGGAGCCAGAGTTAGTCATACTATGAAGCGCTGCTGGTTACTGCCAAAGTAACAGAACAATCTAAAAGAAGTGAATGGGTGTTACACTGTAGACAACGGTCTTTCAGGGCTGAGGCAATGGAAATGATGCACTTTCCTAAGTAGTGATGTACGTTCCAATTCAGATACATGGCTTCAGGAGTGCAGGGTCATGAAAGCATAACTTTCTGGAGGGAGATAATGAGCTCTCCTTCATATGATTCCTTCCATAGAGTTGTTTACATGAACCAGTAGTCCAGAATTCACAAGTCCGAATTGAAAATATTTGCAGTGAAATACATTATTCTGTTAGTAAGGACTGGCATTGCAGTGCCATGCTTACACAAAACATTATGGAGGTGTTATGCTTAGTCCATGAAGGATAACGCAAGATGGAAGAGGGTGCACTGAGGCGAGATTCGTTATACTGCATTTATCTTTCTTTTATAGATTACTTACAGATGCCAGGCCCATTATTCTTGGGAATGTGAGGGATGAACATCCATCAGGACTTTGCCCAAACGTAGTATATGGAGTCTGAAACCAAGCCTTCTCATTAGCCCAAACCACATCACATAGAGGCAATATAGATGCTCCAAGTCCAATGGCTGGGCCATTTACTGCTACAATGATGGGCTTCTTAAACTGAATGAAAGTATTTACAAAATTCCTGAAATGAAATAAGTATCCAATGATGACACATTTTATCAGCAAAACACTTCAGCCATATAATATCTCAAAACTAAAATGGCTGTAATAGAAACTAGCCTTTTTGGAAACCTTAGTAGTCACAGCTACAGTTCCTTATCCAACATCATGATCAGGATTGTGCGTTTGGATATTCCCAAGCCAAAAATAAACCTTAAATTAGCTGATTTGGGTTTGCTCAGGGACATCTAAATTACTCCAAATACTACCAAAACTCCTGGAATTTCAGATGTGTTTCAAACTTTGGGAAGGCAGAGAAAGTGCCCTGGCCCTCAGTTATTCCACAGCACACTATTTTCTGTGCAAAGACCTTGCATCCAAACCCCAAGATGTTCAGTGATGTACCTGCCCTTAGAACTTTAAACGGTTATTATTTTCAATGGGAGCAGAAGCGGCCTCCGGAGAGCCCAGGGGGGGGGTCAGAGCACATGTCCTCTCTCTCCCTACCTGCTTCTGCTGCCTCTGGGAGGGGCAGAGAGGCATCAATAATGTGTTTTTTAAAGGGCATGATTATCAGGTGCCAAAATTTCTGTACTCCAAAACTGTGCCCCAAACCATTTCCTAAAACAGAAACAATACTGTCCCCTGAAATTTCAGCATAACAAAAATCATGCCCTTAAAAAACTGATCTGAAAGTAAAACAAAATATTTTGAAGTGCTCAGAACCAAGATAAGATACTATATGTGATGGGTTAAATGGCAAATCACTCACAAGGCTCAGAAAGATCTTCCAGGTTACTGGGGGGGGGGGACTGGTGGGGCATGGTCAAGGTGTTACAGTTAATGAAAGAGAATCTAAATAGAAAGTGGTCCTTTTGCTCCCCTGGAGACTGCTAGGATTTCATAAAATCCACCACTTGGCACAAAACCATTATATTCCCACTGTTTAATCTACAAATTTATATCCTACTTTTGGAATCATACACTGTGAATTTCTTTCCAGAGACAGGAAGGGATGCCCTCTATCTAGGCCACAATTTTCCCCTTCACATAAAATTTTCACTATCCTTAGGTAAGTGGAGAATATGGACTCTAATAAGTTAGTAGAACTCCTTTGGAATGATCTGAGATTAACAGATATGATTACTGTTCTGATTTTTATTTTTTACAAAAGCTTTTACTAGGAAAAATCAATTTACAATACAGAAAATAAATTATGTGGATGCACACATTTTTTATTATTTACTGGAATGATAATGCTCAGGGCCTAGAATATCAAAAAAGAGTTGGTTTCCTTCTCTGATCTTGCTATAATTTGTAAACTTCAATTTGGTAGCAAGCTCCAAGATTTTATACTATCTAACAAAGTGCAGAGAACTTGCTTTTCTTCAAAAAAAAAATTGCAATGTAAACAACTTAATTAACATTTTTAGATTAAAATCTTCTATGGAATAGTTAGGTAATGAAACAAAACCGAGGATGTAGGGAATACTATGAAAATGAAACTACAGTTTGTCATTTCTTCTCCACTGTTCAAGAGCTGGATTCTAAAATAGAACAATAATGATTGCCAAAAATATGGATAAAATCCCATATCTACTATCAATCACATTAGAAATAGCTCTAAACCTACAGAAGGTAAGATAACATTAGTTCATCTCTGTAAAAAATTTTAGGTCACATATTTATTATTCTGCTCTTGTATTTTTGATTTTCTGCAACCTATTTAGGGGGGAAAAATCCCACGATGATTAGCTTTAGTATCTGAAGTCATCAAAAGATTATACAGGTGATATTTTCATTGATAAAGTGAAAAATCAGTTCATTAAGGGTTAATGTAAGGCCACTGAGTCTGGCTGCCTTCTGCTATCTAATGGCTAATTTTCTGAATAATTTAATCCACCTGGCAAGTGACCAAACAGGGCATAGAAACAAAAGATTTTTCCCCTCTGTCAAAGGATGACTCATCTCTTAGCAAAAGGAGACACTGGATCCAATCCTATGCTCCTTGCTTGTATAAACTTGTATTAAGTATTTGTATGATGTCAAAAAATGGAAGCTTTTATTTTATAGCAAATGGCTGTTACTATATTTATCACTTTACTTATAAACAACAGGAGGCATGTTTTCCAGTAAGCAACAATGTGTTAACATGCATCTTCTGTGTCATAAGCAGGGCATCAAGTACAAAACCAAAAAAGGCAATTATCATGGGCAAACAATGACACTTATCATGGAAAAATATAAACCTGTCTGTAATGAAAGCCAGAAGTATGGCAGGTTCTCCCTCAAAATAAATTGCTTTCTATGCTGAATTTAGTTTTAGTAATTATTTCATCCTTGCAAGGTTGCCAATCATCAAACACATTTAGTGCTTTGATAATAAGGTAGGCACAATACTCATTACTCCGAACCATAATGGAAATTCATGATAAAAACATGGAATTCAGATGATTTACATGAAAATGGCAGGTGCCAAACCACACTTTAGTGACGTGATGCATTTATTCGCATCTAAAAGCCAGCCTCACAAACAGTCATGGGATGGACATGGGGAGGGGGTATGGGGAAAACCAACCAGTCTGGGCACCTTTTGACTCAAACATGTGGCTTCTGAACCTTCAGCCCACAATACTTGCATACTGGCAATCTTGCTTCTTATAATAATTGAGCCAGACTTCTTATTTTGAAGGGGACGCTGGAAATTTTAGTTTTTAAACAAGTTCCTCCCGATCCCTTGGAAGCCAACAGTGCTATCCCAAAGAGAGGCACACCTTTCTAATCTCACTCATTTCAATGTATAAGATAGGTATAATTGCTGAGGAAGGCACCATAAGTGTTGCAGGTACACCGCTCATCCATATTTAAACATGCTCACTCCCCCTCCAATCTGACAGCAAACACTGACATTGTAATGTCTTCAGTAAGACACACCTTCTGATTTAGTTAGAGTCTAATTGCTGTGGTGGGGGAAAACCCCCCAACAATACAAGACAGTAGTTCTTACATCATATCTAAGTGTTTCAGCCCTGGCAGTGTTGCGGCCTTCTGAGATCCTGATTCTCTAAGAACAAGACATATCAGCACAATGAATAAAGAGCAGTTTTACAAACCTAATAGCATCTGCCATCTTAGTACTTTCCCTTTTTCTATCATCTGTCAAGCGCCGTATGAAATAAATGAAGTCAAGGCCACAGCAGAAGACACTGCCAACTGCACTGAGGAGGACGAGCTTGCTGTCATCAGCTGCTGCTGTGTTCAGTGCACTTTGGACTTCTTTCATTACCTGTAAATAAGATATATTAAGTGCATGAAAACCGGATGCAGAATATTTCACCCATAGCTCTTGCAAATACACAGCGTTTCTTTGGACTGAACAGCAGGTGGCATATGCAACCAGTTCAGCAAACCCCTAATTTAGGCCAAAGTGTGCTTCAAAGTTCCCATTTTCATATTGGAGAAGAAACAACAAAAATAGAACATGACACTAATACAAACGAGCAAGAATTTAGAACACCCTAAAGAAAGACAGAAAAATTAAGTATTCTGCAAAACAGAGGGGATTTCTAGAAAACTTTCCGATGCTCTCAAGTGTGATCTGATTTAGCATGTTTCATTTTAATTTATATTTGATTAACATTTTTAAATAAGCATCCTGCATTAATTTTATGTCCCAACAGCAACACTTGAACTGATATACGTGATTAGGAGGGGAAAACAACAGATCAAGTGTGGTTTAAACGTTATATACAATCAAATTCAAGGCTTCATATTTTTTCTGGAGCCATACTTGTAAAAATGCAAAAATAACAGAGCATGTAATTCTCTCCCACTGTTTATATTTCATATTTAAAAACCCCAAAGGCACTAAAAACACTTTACACTAATTTTATCACATTCCAAGAACAATTCATGGTATCTCCTCGACCTGGTTGTGTACACATGTATTTCAACAGACTTTAACTCTCTTCCAGGGAGGGGGGGGGGGGGGGGGGGCAGTTTCACTGCCACTCTGCAGCATCCCTTTGCAACGCCCATATCAGACTGGTAACATATCCCTTCCATCGAGCGAGAGGAGACATTTATACTGGGCTGGGAATGCTGGATTTTAATTAATACATTTAATGTTTTGTTTTTTTATTACTTTCATTTTGTAAACCGCCTTGGGCAGGTTCCTGGAGAGCCAGCATTAAAATGTTTGAAATAAAATGAGTAAATGAATAAAAGTAAGAATTTTAGCTTTGTTCTTAATTTGACTTGCACAGCCAATCAAGCAAGTTTATAACCTCATTTTTAAAAGCATGACTATTATATGTATTTGTGGTTTTATTCCTTCCCCTCATTTATTAATCCACAGTATATGTACTCTTTCCTACACAGTTCCCGAGGATAGTCTCCGGAGAAACATTAATTACAACTTTAAAACTGCCGTGGCTTCCTAATATTTCATTGGCAATGGCAGCTCTTCATTGTCGTTAGTTCTATGAAACAATGAATACTGAAAAGTGTGTGTGGGGGGGAGAATATCTGCCCTCATCCCTTTGTCGGCAGACATATCAACATACACATAACAGAACTGAAGAGACAGAATAAAAATGGCAAGAAATAAGGAACTCTTCAAACTACTCTGAAGATTCAAACTGGCATCTTTATTACATGCACTCAAGGCTCATTAACCTCAGTATTTAAAGTTTCAAATTTCTGAAAGTGAACCTAGTTGTAATACTGAAACATAGGCTCAGTCTACCCCATCTTTGTACTGTTGTTTCCCATTCCACTCCTGACCTTGTCCTTCAGTCTTCCAACTCCTGCCTTAAAGTCTCTTGTACTCTTAATGAATTCCTTTATTTCTTTCCACCTGCTCCCAAGGCCCAGAACTGTCTTCCTAAGACAAGGTGCCATCTCTCTGTCTCTGTCTCTCTCAATTCAAACCTTCTTCAAAATCCATCTTCCCCACAAGGCTTTTAATCTTCATGTACAACAGCAACTAAGCTTAACTATGCTTAGCTGTATTGGCTCCTGATCAGCCCTTGCTACAGAAGTCTCTCTCCCTACACTGCATCTGTTGCTAAATTTAGAGTACAACATCCTTGGCAGCAAGGATCTCTCTTCTTTCACTTGTGAACTTCTGTAAGTCAGCACTATCATTAAAGCTGTTGTAAGGACATGACTCCACCTCCCTGCACCAGCCCCCAAATAACCAAATGGTTCTAACCTCTGGATTTAATGAATTGTTCTCTGATGATTTGGTTGATAATAAAATGTGCGTGAAGCCATCTTGTTTCCTGACAACAATGTCTCTGTACCGGTAAGCACTTTCAGTTTGTCTCACACTGAATCGTAGTCTCTTATCAAAAGGTTGGTCCCTCCTTTCATCAATAAATCTTCTTTTGCTGGCTGTCACTGATGTCTGTATGTTGGTACCATTGGTTGCTAATGCTTCTATGAAGGTAGATGTACCTGTGAAAGTTTCAACAAAGTATGCTTTGATATCCACTTTACCACTTTAGCAATTACAATTCTGATCACCATGAACAACTTTCCAGTCCCAAATTGCAACCACAACAAAAGTGAAAGTTTGGATGGTGAGATGGTATGAAAAGTGCTGTCAAGTCACAGCTGACTTATGGTGACCCCCGTAAGGTACGGGCCCAGAGAAATGTGGAAAGTAATGATACCTGAAACAACAAAGTCTGGTGTGGCACCTTAAAAATTCTCTGAAATACATCATGAAGGGTATGAATAACAACACCACCACAAATACTGACGCACTGAGGCCAAGGGGAAATAACTGATCAGTGGTCCCCTATCTGATTACCCTTTGATCTAGTTTCTTTTTATATTTCATGGTTGACTGTTTCTGTACATCTTGTTGGAATTTTTTTGTTCTTAGCAAACGGTTTGCTTTCAGCAGGCCAAAAGAGTCTATAATCCATCTGCCAGAGCTCCTGTAAAAAAAAACTTACTACACTCCTTTACAGCAAAGAACACTTCGTTGTACCAAGTTAACATCAACTTCACGATTAAGCATTTTTATCGTTATTTTTTGGAAGAATATAAATTTTTTAGTCTATGGCTCAGAATTCCACCTCACTTAGCAACCCAAATAAATTGAACATTACTTTGTGCAAATGTAGTGCCTCACTTACTCTTGAGTAGAAACACAAGTGTGCCCAGTACCCGGCGGCCCCAGTGCTTAAAGACACAAGCAGTGTCACCTATGAGCCTCAGGAACTCTGTGGTAGAACCCGCTCTTCACTTTCCACAGCTGGAACAGCAAGTAGGAGTGAGCAAAGAGGATTAAGCCTGAGAGACCGACCAGCAACTGAGTCATTGACTCATCAAGTTTATTTGTGTAGGCAGGACCTGCAGTGGGACTAAAGTATGCACCGAGACTCTTCTTTATATCTTACTTCGGTTACCAGTTTCATACTTTACGCAAGAGCAAACTGAACAAAATGGAATTGATGTATTTATTCCCATTATTTATAGTCCGCCTTTCTCACTGGAACTCAAGGTGGATTACACAGAGCGAGTCAATGCAATCAACAAGATGTGACATTCAGTAAGCAATGAAGTAGGATTTGAGATGTGGATCCAACCAGACGTCTAAAAAACAGAGATGAAACAAAGCATAAGGGACAACATGACACATTAAATGACACAAAATTACACAATGGGACCCAAGTGACTTTGTGAAGTCTTTTGTACAGTGCCTGAGTAGAAAAGCCCTCTTGAATAATTCAGTTTTGTATAGATTATGGAAAGCCAGGAGAGTAGGAGCCTTCCAGGCCATTCCACAAGGCAGGGGCTTCAGTGGAGAAGGTGTCAAGCTTGAGCCTCGCTTGTCAGACAGACAGGCACATGTACAGGCAGTTGTTGGTTCTGCCTATTTGCAGACTGGCACTTGCTGAAGGCCTTGCTCGGATGAATGAAGCTGTCATGGCTGAACATAGGGGGATAGACAGTCTTGCAAACAGGAGGGTCCAAGACTATGAAGGGTTCTGTATGTGATAGCCAATAATTTAAATTGAGCCTGGGAACTGATAGGCACCCAGTGGAGTGACTGTAGAATGGGAGTAATATGCATGTTCCATCTAGCTCTTGATAACAGATGAGCTGTGGCATTCTGCACCAGCTGGAGTTTCCGAATTGATTTTGAGGAGAGACCAATGTACAGTACAATAGTCTAGTCTCAATGTTACTGTGGCATGGATCAAGGGGCCAATTTTTGAGCTAGGCTGAGTTGGAAGAATGGACCTTTGGACACTTACTGTGAAGGGTCCTTCTCCTCTAAGGAGAGGAGGCCATCTTCTGGGTGATTCTCACCATCCACTCAGGGAGGCAGTAAATTGATTTTTTCCTCTTCCTGTGTGATGTGTGAATCACCCTTCCCTCAGTTTGAGTGACTCTGAAAGCGGTAAATAGTAACTGGTGCTCTAATCACAACTAGATTCAAACAACCAAAAAAAAATTAAAGAGAAGTTATAGAAGCACATATCCAACCTCAAGTGAGGTGGATAGTAGTAAAAAAAATAAGGCAGAAGGTTAGTATTGGAAGTCAGCGATGAGATAGAGGGGGCAAGATGTCCTCCTACCCTCAGAGATGTACCCTTCATGGTAAGTGTCCAAAGATCTGTTCTCCACTGTGGGGAGGGCATCTTCTGAGTTGTCCCAGAGCAATGTCCTTTCTGGACAGAATGAGGGAAGGTTGATATCTTGTTACAAAATTTGGAGACAACCTTGGGTTGGAAGGTGGGATCCATTCTGAGTACTACTTTGCCTTTATGGAAGATGTATAGTTCAGATTTGGCTGACTGGGCATTCAGTTCCAATATTCTTCTAGCTGATGTCACCATTACTAGGAAGTTAGTCTTCATTTGTAGCCACTTCAAGGGTACATCTTTGATTGGCTCTAATGGATGATTAGTTAGAACCGACAATACTGTACGTAGTCTCCACGTGGGAAATCTGTGTACCTGAGGCAGGTTCTTAAGAGCTGCACCTTGCAGGAATCGATGAACGTGTAGATGATTGGTTGATTCCGTCTACTTGTGGTAGAACTGACACCAGTGATGCGACCTATTTTCTAAGTGTAGTGAGTTTGAGGCCAGATTTTACACCATCTTGCAGGAGGTCTAATACTGACTGTAGTGGTGGCATGAGAGTATTGATGGACTTTCTCCTGCACCACCTATGGAATGCTTTCCATGAGGCGTATATTCTAATTGTGGATGATTTTCTAGACACAAGGAGGGTGTCTGTTACTTCAGTGGAATAGCCCAGTCTTACGAAATTGCCATACTCAACTTCCAGATGGTCAAACGTAGCCAGTCTGGATGGGGATGCTATATGGTACCCTGCTGAAGCATGTCTGGAGAGGTCGGGAGGTGTAGGGGTGGTTTGATCGCCATTCCCTGTAGGGTGGAGAATCATGGTCTCTGAGGCCACCAGGGAGCCACTATGATGACCTCTGCCTCTTCCTGTCTGACCTTCCTGAGAAGTTTGGGGATGATTTGAATCAGTGGAAATGCGTACAAGAGGCCTGTAGGCCAACTGTGGATCAGAGCATCCTCTGCTTCCACTTGATGACAGTAGTACTTGGTGAAGTATCTTGGAGTAGTACTTGGTGAAGTTGGTGGCTATGGTGTGATGCGAACAGGTCCACTAGTGGGTTGCAGAAGTGGGACAGGATCAGTTGGAATAGTTCCTTCTTCTCCTTTCCCCTTGTTGGATGGTCTCTCTGCTGAGCTAATCCACGCGTACGTTGGATGTGCCTTTGATATGTTCTGTCCTGATGGAGGCTAAGTGTTGTTCCACCCATGTTAGTAGTTTGATTGCCTTCCTGCGGAGGGCCAAGGATATGGGACCCCCCCGTTTGTTTATATACGTCTTGGCAGACACATTGTCTGGGTGTATCAAAACATGTTCGTTTGCCACTTGATCGCTATAATGGAGAAGAGCTATTTAGATGGCTCTCAGTTCCAAGATGTTCATGGGCAAGTGTGTCTCCCTTTTGGACCACTGACCTTGCACTGGGATGCCATCCATAGTTGCTCCCCAGCCTGAAAGGCTGGCATCTCTAAACATTTGCTTCTCTGAAGGAATATAGATCTTTCCCCCTTGACACAGGTTGGGGTTTTGGTCCACCATATCAGGCTTGACTTGACCTGCCCTGGGACTTGTATGGAGAGGTCCTATTTCTCTGTGATCTGTGCCTGGTAAAGTCTGAGTAGTGACTGTAGCTGTCTGGTGTGTAGGCATCTCTACTGTATTGCCACGAGGTTTGATATGAGGAGGCCCATCAGCTTGGTCAGAGTCAGCAGGGATGTGTAGCTGTTTCTGATGACTGTTTAGGTTAGTTGTTTGGTCTTATTTTCTCCCTTATGAGAAAGATGGAGCTGTTCTTGGTGTTGATAATCATGCCAAGATGCTCTGGCTCCTGAGACTGGTTCAGTGAACTTTTGAACAGATTGACCAGGAACCCATGGTGTTGCAGACAAAGGATGGTGTTCTTTGTGTCTTTAATGGATTTTTCCCTGGAGCTGGATCTGATTAAGAGGTCATCAAAATATGGATGTACATGTATACCCCTTTCTCTGAGACAGATGATTGGATTGACCAGTACCTTTGTGAAAACTCTTGGGGCAGTGGAGAGGCCAAATGGGGGGTCTCTGAATTGTAGATGTTGGTTCCCCAAGCAAAACCTCAGAAATCTTCGGTGGGATGGAAGGATTAGTATATGTAGTTATGCTGTAAGATCTATGGATGTGAAGAAGTCCTCCGGTTGAAGGGCTTCAGTTATGGACGGTAGTGTTTCCATATGGAAGTGTCCTGGTTTTATGAATCTGTTCAGGAACTTGCGATCCAGGATTACTCTCCAATCTTTATTCCTCTTGGGGACAGTGACGAAGATGTAGTAGATTCTATACCCTCTTTCATCCTGGGGTACCAGTTCCATAGCCTGAATGTCAAGGAGGTGTTGTACTGCCCTCTGTGTTATTTCTCTTTTGGACTGATCTTTGCATATGGGTGAGATGATGAAGCGTTCCAGTGGGGTTCTTTCGAATTCTATGACATCCTTGTGAGACCACCTCAATAGTTCATGAGTCTGTTTGTGTGTTTACCCATTCTGTCTTGAAGTGAAGAAGTCGTTCCCCCCACTGGAATACTGTGAGAGTCATGTCTTGTTGGGCTTGTTGTCTCACTCTTGCCTGTCATTCTATTTGATGTTTGTTTCTTGAATCTTGGGGTTATAAAACCTCTTTTATATGTTATGCTGGAGTAACCCCAACCATGTCTTTTGGGGTCCTGTTTGGTCCTGGGATGTGTGTGTTGGGAACAAAAGGGCTGAGTTCCAAGCCCTCTCCTGTCAGTACGGCATAGCGTCTTGGGCATTGCTTTCTTTTTGTCCCAGGTCTCAATCAAAATCGTCTTGATAGTGTTCCCAAACAGTTTTT